CAGCACCGGCACTCGAGCAACATGGCCGGCTCGCTCCCCAAGTCGCGCCCACACTCGCATTCGGTGTCGGTAGGCTCTATCAACCCGGCACACCGCGTCACTCGCCGGAAGAGCATGAGCTCGAACGCAGCCGGCAACATTGCCGCAATGGCAGCCGCGGCCAAGGGCATCACCGGCGCTCCCCTGGAAGGAAGCAATGCCTCGCGCCGCATGTCGAAGCCTGCATCGCAGTTCCGGGGCCCTCACTTGAGCATGACTCCCTCCATGGCCTCGAGTGTTCCGAGCAATGGCTCCCCGTTCGCGCCTGGCAGCTACGGTGCGGCTGCCAAGAACGAGGCCGTCGCCGACGGACCTCCGCTGGCCGCTATGCCTGAGCACGAAAAGGGCAACTCGAAAGCGAGAATACGCCGCGCAAGCGAGGGGTCTCGCCTCGCAAAGGGCGACAGCAAGCGCACAAGTGGTAGCGAATTGAGATGTGAAAAATGTGGGAAAGGATACAAGCACAGCAGCTGTCTCACCAAGCACCTGTCAGTCGCCCCAAGTCTACCGCCATCCTCCCACACACTTTCACGGCTCATGACGAATGCCCTTTTTCCCACTGCTGTCTTCTGAGTTTTGAGTTGACTTTTTTTTGATTTAGTTGGGAGCATACGCCTGAATGGCAATACACGTCTAAGCTGCTTATTTCCAAGCACCAGCAGGTGCAGCTCCTCGAAGCAGCCTCAGTCCTTGTTGCCATGAACCAGGATGGCACCGACAGCGATCACTCATCTGCATCGCCGCCAGCCTCGGGTTCTGACCTGCGCGACGATTTGAGCTCCACTGACACTACCCCGCCCCCGCAAATGGACGATCACGCCGTGGGCTCCTTCCCTCGCTTGCCCTATGGCAGTCGCTCCTCCAAGCGTTTTTCTGCCAACAGCTCCGCATACAGCCAATCCTACCAGTCCACCGTATTTTCGGAAAACGGCCACTACCGCCAGTGGAGCAACGTGTCCGACCGCCCCACCACTTCGGGCACCTCGGTCGCAGGCTCGTATCGCGAAGATGAGAATGACCAGGCGGACCTCGCTGCTGCTGTTGGTTTGCTGAGCTGCTCCTACGGCACGCCCAAATCGGGGCCCGTTGCTCTCTCTCCCGATATTCCACCAGTGCCGCCGCTGCCAGCTAAATTTTTGGATTTTAACCATGGCTCCTCTTTATCGGGTAGCACCACCGTGACTGCGCAGCAATCGAGCGTGCGCCGTAGCAACTTCTACCACCCCGAGAGCCGAGACGTCGATATGGACAGCGAGAGCTTCGCAGATGATGACGAGTTCCGCCACAGCAACGCGCACAGCCGCGGGCGCATCGACGAGGATGACGATGCCTTCTTCGGAAGGATGGAGGAATAGCGATCCGTCCTGCGCGTAACGTCCGCCACGAGTCCGATGATCCTAAATTTGCCTTTGCCTTCTTCGACGTTTTCCGGTCTGTACCACAATCAGCAATGCAGCAATCTATCTCCGCAGACTACCTGGATCCCGTTCTGCAGCACCGAGGAGAGGGCCTTCATCCCACGTCGCGCTCTTGAGGTTGAAGCTTCGGATCCGGCCAGGTAATAACGTCGGTCTTGCGTTGAGAGCCTCATCACATATAGCAACCATTTCCCGGAGTTTATTCCTTCTCGTTCGCCATATCTTGATGTTTCCCACAAGCTTTTAACTACCTACCTACAAACCATATCAAATCTTCGACTTCTGGATTTTCGGGGGGAGTGGGATTGGAGTGTTTTTTCAGAAGTGTTGTTTCATTTCGGCACTGCCTGTCGGTCTTGACACTCGTCGTTCGGCCACCTGTTGTATATTGGGCTGGATGCGGGGGAGAGACGGGAGTGTGTGAAATGAGACATGTGACGGATATAACTGTAGGAGAGTTAGGAACAAATATTCTTGTTTCTGAGCCGAGTGATTGACAATGTGATGTTCATATGCACGCGCGGCTGGTGGAGAACAATCCTTCTTTAGGTTGCGAGATGCAGAAATGGGTGATGTGCGCACAGGTATTACCCGGGCCCGAGAATGTTGAAAGTTGTGAGAGACTGAAATACGCAGAGGAATCGCGACATTGTTGAGAGAGAGACGAAGAACCGAAAAAAGAACCGAGAGAGAGATAAGAAGAGGTCGAGATGCGCTAATGCGGCAATCACGATGTCGACGCTCCAGGGCTCGCTTTACCTACCTCGAGCAGCCCCTCATCCGCACCACTTACCTGAGCCAACCATCTACACTAACCTTCACATGCGAACCACCATCTCATCTCAGGCCATCTCAGGTCATGGTAACACAAGACCGCCGTCATTTCCGCTCTCACGTGACTTTGGATGAAGAAGGGACCAAATTGAATTCCAGTCGGCAGGGCTCCCGAGCGCGCACGAGGCTCTTTTATACTGGGCGCACATGAGCGCACGTCATGTGCACCACGGAAGGAATTCGTGCGTGAAACGGGAGATCTGGGTGATCGGGCAGATGCAATTGCACGGGTCGAGAGTGCGAGATGGGGATCTGCGCTTGTGTTGCGGTGTTTGGCGGGTATGACGACAGAGATCGTCGGGCGGGAGTGAGGCCGATGGGCGTTGGGGAGCCTGCGGTCGCTAGAAGAGTGAGGAGTGGATGGGCTGTGGTGGTGCTTCGTGCTGTTTTGAGTTGCGATTTTGCGGTCGTGGGTTGTGGTGATGGTGGTGCTGGATGTTGGTGCTGTTGGTGTATAGGATTGTGGATAGTGTAGTGGATCGCGATCGATGAGCTTGAGCCGTTTTGTATGCGGTTCTTTGCCGCGTGGAGGATGAGTTCATTTATTTGAAGTGGAGCATGGCTGGTTCGAGTAGGCGAAGGGTTGCTCCGGGCGTGGATTGACGGATCGTCTTATTATGTGCGAATGTTCATCGTTTTGGCGGCTTGGGTTAGGATGTGATCTTTACTTTTCGTGTCATGGGACGGTACTGGATCTCCTCCAAGTTCAGGCTGATGTGCTGTTGCCATATGGTACCGTTCTCTCGTGGAAGAGATGTACACTTCTTCATCGTTGCTGGCCTGTTAGAATGATACAGTCCCGCAAGGCTCTTCCGGGACGGTGCAATTGCGTCTATTCTGGCGTGTCTTGGATCCACCCACGTCGTTGGTGGTGTAACCATTCGCACGTGTTCAGTTCCGATCCAGATGCTGCGTTGATCTCCGGGTTCCACGGATCCCTTGCCCAGCGTAGGAAACAAAAAATTCTCCATCCTCCAACCATGAGGAGGGGAACCCAAAAGCAAAGAGCTGAGTACCTATGGCAGGCGACCTCTTGAGAAATCAAATGCTCGTCTTACCCTAACTTTTGCATCCATCTCTTCCAATGGTTCTCACCAACCTAAGGTCTCGCGACGCGGCGGCACATCCTAGAATACACCATCGGCTCCCTCGCATTCCAGAGACCTGCATGGCTTCGAACTTCTTCCCTCGAGTATTGAGGCGCATCTAGATTCGTCCACCAACAGGGCTTCAAGTACCATGCATGACACGAAGCCTTCACAGTGGGTTTTTCGATGACCGTTATGTTTTTCATCCTGCAGACAGTATGTATACAGACAATCGTTTGCGCAACCCAACATTGATAAAGAAAGCAAAATCCCAGAGAGGTGCAGATGAGGAAGAAAACAAGAATCCGCGAGCAAGTGAAGAAACTGAAGGTCCTTCACCGCGCTAACCCCGAACGAGCCGGAGCTCCACTACGACATCCGAGGCTCCGTCCCCTCTTCCGACGAGCTTGAGCTACGTCAGGGAAATGCCGATATGTAGCTGCACAGCTTCAAACCTCTTGTCCTGCTTCATTCGAACAGAGAATAGCTGATCCCTCAAGCTCCGCCAGAATGACTTCCTACATGTCCGAGTACCCACCAATCCCATTCGACCCAGCGTACAAGAAGTTCTTTGAAGACTTCTACGCAACATCAGACACACCAGATGCGCACTCCAAATATGTGGAGCAATTCACGCCCGACGCGACACTCGTAATGGCGTCTAAGAAAGCAACGGGTTCAGAAGGTCTGCGTCCACCACACCGTGCCCAACGCTACCATCCACCATCGTCCGCCCTTCGCCCTACCTGACCCCATCCTAACATACAACATACTCACACCCATAACCAGAAATCCTCGCCCTTCGGAGAGGCCTCTGGGAGAAAGTCACAAGCCGGGTTCACAAACCGCTCAAGATCTTCCCCTACGGTCCAAACTCGGATGAAGTGATGCTGCACGGAACGGTGCGGTATGAGCTGAAGGCCGGTGGGAAGTCGAGTGTAGACTGGGCGGCTTATGCACATTTGGTCAAGATTGACGGGGGTGTCAAGATGGATTTCTATCAGGTTTATTTGGTGAGTGCTCTTGTGAAGGGTTTTTTGGTGGTGCATCGTTGCTAAGAGGGGTACGTAGGATACGGCAGCGCAAGCCAAGTGAGCTTTGGGCAGGGCGAAGATAGGGCAAGTTCGGGTATTTCAAAGAGTAGATAGAAGGGAACAGACGGCCTGTGAAAGCAACCGTTGAAGTCGTACGTCGTATTGAAGAGGGATAGGAAAGCAGCCGTTGTAACTACCCAGATGGCAGGCCGTAGCTTGACGTCACGCCTCCTCATGGTAGCCCCCAAACCTCACAAATGCATGCATCTTCTTCTGAGCCTGCCCCTTTTGTAACCTTCCTTTTGAACGGTAATAGTCTGATGGCGACTTCAACGTTCTGTGATACAAACATAATCAATGGGCACCTAGAAGCTAACCGCTTTTGGACGGCGGAACGTCGGCGACATCCCTCTCAGCCCACAAATCAATGTCGCTCCAAATTGCCGGAGTCATACCATGCATCAGCCCACCAACAATGACCACCATTAGTCGCTTTCTTCGATTGCGCGAGCTTGCGTTCTAGGTGCCGTATATAGTGATAAGATATGTTATTACTAGTGGTAGAAATCTTCATATTTCCAAGCAACGCCCGGTTAGCTCAATCGGTAGAGCGTGAGACTCTTAGTATTCACGGTCTAAAACCACGATTTCGCGGCATCTCAAGGTTGCGGGTTCGACCCCCGCATCGGGCTATTTTATCTTCTCGTCTTTTTTTGGTATATTTCTAAATTTCTGTAATTCATATTTTGCCAAGTTTGTGGGTATATCACGAACCCAGATTAGCAAGGAACAGCATGCAACTACATCGCTCTTTTTTGCTTCCACGTATTCTACAGGACATGACTGTATTATGCTTCTCCCATAAATGATACGAACATTCATGTTTTCTAATCCCACCGTGGCTAGTAACGAGATACCGTGGCCGCCAATATAAGAAAGCATGTAACAGGTGCTGTCCATCCGGATACGTTTTACCAACATCATGTTACGCCATAGATTGGGTTGGCCATAGTTTTCAAATTCCTCCTCCAGTCCCACAGCTTCAGCAGTTTTGCTCCGTCTTTGGTAGGGTTCTTCACTATGCATTAACGCTTCGAATGTCTCCGGATATCTCTCTCGGCCATCACCGTAAATTAGAGCCAGCCCCATTCTCCTTCACCTAAAACACAGGCACCGTCCTTGTCGTATTGCCCCCATCCTGCCTTGTCACGCTTCTACTCCTCCCTCAAGACATTTCCTTTCGACCATCATCATGCGAATCCCCGGAAGCGACCCTCCCGTTCTCATCCGTCCGAACCCTGTGCATCGTCTGCCTCGTCACACTCCCCATCCGCTGTCGCACGGCACTTCTACTTCTCTGTCTTGAAATGTCCCTCTGTTCATCCAAGTTCGTATCAACGCCTCCTTCCCCGTTCGCCCCACTCTCCCCATCCTCTTCATCACCATCATCTGCCGTAAGCCCCCGCATCTTCTTAGGCCTTCCACCCAAGCTCGCAAGCACCTGCTCATGATGCGCTGTCAAATCATCCAGCACACACAATTCCCTCGCCGTAAACCACCTCGGCATGATGGATGTGCGCAGCGGAATAAGCGCGATAATAAGGACGGGAAACCCAATCGCCGCGATCGTCTGCGAAATGGCGACTGTGACGGCGACACCTAGGATTTGGAGACCGACGTAGAGGCCGATCTTGCGGCAGGAGACGTCGTTGAGGGGGTTGGAGGGTTGGATGAAGCGACGTTCGGATTGGAGGTAGATAAGCTTTTGGACGATGCCGTTTGTTTCGATTGAACCCCACTGGAGATAGCCCGTTAGGAATCGTCAATAGAAGCGAAGAGAAGCAAGTGCTTACGCCAACGACGAAGAACACGCCTGCGAATACGGCCGCCGGCATTGTATGTAGCACTACTAGCAGCGGGCCGGTCATCGTCCCCCAAATTGCCATGCCCATGAGGAAGTGCGACACACGCTGTTCGACCACTTCCGTGGCTTTCACCAACGGCTTCCTGATTTCAGTGATTTCATGATCCTTGGTCTTGACCACATCAAGATGCGTCTCGTAGTTGGTGAGCGAGTCGGTGTGTACAGGTGCTTGCGGGACCAGGCCGTTGGGCATGGGCAAGCCGATGACGCCGGCGACGAAAGTGGTGCAGCCAAGGAGGAAGAAGTCCCAGTGGAAGCCGGCGGGCTTTTTGAGGGGGAACTGTCGGGCCTGTGCGGTCAAGCTGCTGACGTTCTGAGATCAGGTCAGCAGCATGTCTGAAGACCATCATACGGAGAATGGAGTTTTACATGATCGTAGTAGAACAACAACATGGTCAAGAAACCGAGCGGCAGCGCTACAAAGATCCACCCAGCATCTAGATTCCAAAAGTCAATGACCCAGTCTCTGGGTTGCGTAGGACGAAACGCTTTGGTTATTGGCACGAATGTCATATGAGTGCTCTTCAACGTCCCTGGGATATGCGAGAATCCTACCCAAAAGAGTGTCGGGAATACGAAAGAGTAGTCTGCAAGAATGCCGCGAGCCCATGGCTTCCAAATGACACTCGATCCAAGCCTCTCAAGGCCATAGAGGGAGCCAAAATAGAGGATGGCGATGAGACAAGAGAGGTAGCCGCCAGCGGACGTAGCGACGCTGAATTCGTTGACCAGTTCTTCGACACCTTTGACTGTATAAACGTTAGCTTTACGCCCGGAGAAATTAATCCGCTAGCAGACTTACTCATGTAGATGATACCGACGTACATGCCGAAAGACTCGCTCGAGAAATCTGTAATGTACCCCATGTAGTCGCAAAAATTGAAGAACGAAACGATCCAGTGGAAGATGGCAGCCCAAATGCCTGTCCAAGCCATGACCTGGGGATACGCGTTCACATCATATCGTTCGACGATGTTGTAGATGGTATAATTGAAGAGACCAATCAGTCCAGTGACTCCGACGATCGTCAAAGGTTGGCAGGCAAGGATGCTAAAGACCATTGCGGCGAGAGCCGATGCGAGTAGTGCTTCGTTGATGCCGAAGAACTTGCCGGTTCTCCGGTACATGTCAAGCGTAAATGCAATGGCTGGGAGGAGGCTACTATAGTCAGCGTCTTCTCCGCGCCGTGGTCGTCCGTGCTTACTTCACGAAGTACATGCGGACTGTGCTCGCGAACGTTCGGTACGTCCACGCATCAGCGATATCGCTCCAGTAGTACGGTAGCCGCCGCTTGATATCATAATACATTCCGTGCCCTGGCCTCAGTATTCGCCATCGTCGCCATCCTCGCTGGTCTTGGAAAGTGTAGGTGGTCGTTGTTTGATCTCTTGTCAACTTCGCTTCTCCCGACTCCCCAAAGTCCGTAGACATGGCCAACGAGATCTCCAAGCACACCTAGGAAGCAAGCAAATAGTGGGAGGCTAACGAAGGTTCCAAACAAAGATGCAGAAGGAAGAGGAGACAAAAACACAATGTCGGAAGGTTTTTGAGCTGGTCGGACAAGGCAGTGGCTCCGAAGAATAATACTCGTCGACCGGACTGAGCTGGGACCTCGAATCGAACGCCTCTTTATATGCTATCAGCCGTTGCAGCATCATCGAGTCTGGGAATGGAGGGCGTGAATTAGTGTCTTGGCATAACGTGGGTACATCCTGAGGGTAGCTTTGATGACACTCGGCAGGATTTTGCTGGGTAGAAGATACCTGGGACGCGTCTAGTTCCTATAGGTGCGAATGTGCCAATAAACTAATGTCTGTAACATCAGTGGTCCGAGCAGAGCAATTGTATGGCTTTTGATGATTGAAGATAGAAGGTGACGATCAGTAGGGCCGCTGCAAACGGTTAGTGCAGATCGATGCAGTTGTTATTGCCCACAGCCCGCCCTGCAATCCGCCCGGGCAGAATTTTCTGGCAGTGAGCAGCGGCGCACGACAGGCATTCTGCTCAGAAGATACCGGGACGTCAATTCGATCCGTATGTTCTGGATAGATCGCGGCCGCACGTTGCTAGAACTATCCACGATCGTAGAGATCCAACAGGTCGCTTAGGAGAAGTTTGTAGCATCGCCTTGTACCATATTTCGAAGCTTGATGTCTGTGGATGATAGCACGCTTTTGCCCTAGTGATGCAATGAAAACGCGGAGGGGCCAGGCTTAATCTGGTATCGCGTAACATGTGACAGGCCTTGGACCAAGACGGACTAACGTCATGACTACTAACCCTCGGTCTCGTCTCCGGAGGGGTGGAGTCGGCACGCTGCCGGTTTGCTGAATGTTCGATGGTTGGCACGATGTCTTGTATTCCCCAGTACAAGCTGCACACCAACGTTTTCTGAACGTCTGACTTTCATTGTCGGCTCTACATTATCAGTTCATTGTCGTGTATAGACGACCGTCGCAAGCGACTGAAGAAGAGCTGGGATACTCACAGACCTTCGCATTACTGCCATGGATCTTACCGAGATCGACGGACTCTCGGATTGCATCGCCCGTGCGATACAAGAACATCTAGCAAAGGAAAACGTTGAATGGCCGCATCTCGGCAGTCTAGATCACCCAATCCTGAGAGTCGAGGCATTCTTGGAGGATAGAGATGATGGCAGGGCCTTGCCTCGATCAGAGCGGATCGCCTCGGTACGTCAAGTATGGAACGAGGCCATGGCCCGTTGCTTCGCGAATTGCGCCATGTGGGAATGGCGTCTGCGTCGTTCCAAGTTGGTTGATGCGCCGGTCTTCATTACGTGCAGGGTCTACAATCCTGACGCGGATTGCGAACAAATCAAACTGACTCACAGTGTAGAAATCCATTGATCTGACGGGAATCCTCACTCCAGCTTCTTCGCGAAGTCCGACAACCACCATTCCGGAAACAGTTGATGAACGTTCCCATGTTTCTTCGGAACCGCCAAACGAACACCTCCCGGTTGGAGAAGATGAGGATGACGCGCGCTCAAGTAGCGAAGCTGAAAACGACGGCCCACGTCGAAAAGGCACTGGTGGATTACGCATATCCCAGTCAAGCGCAATTCAAGAGGATCTGAGCGAGCATCAGCGGCGAATGGTCAGCGATAATCGAAACTTCCCGAAACGAAGGAAGATTGTGTCTGAAAAGTTCGTCTTCCAGCCGTCTACTCTCGACAAGCTCATCATCGGCATCTGGGAGCAAATACACGGGAACTTGAACCTGGACCCCCGAGCGATCTTCGAACAATTCCAAATTAATCCACCTGCGGGAACGGATGTCTTGCAAATTGGTGTTCATGTCGCGACGCCCGACAATGTTAGCAAGGCGGCGCCAATCAGCAACGATGCTTTCAGCAGAATGAATGTATTTTGCAGAAAGGTGACCCAGGCAAGCCGCGTTTGCAGGTCCATCGAAATAATTGTACAGGCTCGTTGGACTGAACTTTTTGAGGAACAGGTCCAGCTCCGGATTGCTGCGGTGCCTCAATTGTCACCAACAAAGCATCGGAAAGCGGCATTCATGGAAGCTTGCCAGGACTTTGGCTGGTCTGAAAAAGAGCTGCGGAACAAGATGGCAATATGGAAAGGATACAAAGAGGTTAAAGACGCGGCGGGTTGGGTTGCGCTAGTGTTTGCCGGGATGGGGATATATCGATTTTGCAAGTACCGTGTTGATTTTGATAGGGATGCAATGCGTCGACTACAGGAATTGCGAAAGAGGCTAGAGGTTGCAGCTGATACTCTG